AACTAAATCGTCAAATATGATAAAATTCCTAGCAAACGATAAGTACAATTGTCAACCAACAACCCTAGTCCAAATCGTGAAAAGCGTATCCTTATCAAAAATAGATTTCGGCCTGCCACTATACGGACTAGCACCAAAAACACAAATAAAACCGATCAAATCTATACTCAACAACGCCCTTCGAACCGCGTTAGGAGCCTTCCGCTCTACACCTATTTATAATATCTACGTCGAATCCAATATTACCCCTCTTGAAACTAGAATACAGCACCTTCAAGCCAAATTATCAAAAACTATAATTCAATCAACAGACACTCCGCTGAAACCAATCCTTGACAAAATCCTAAAAAACAAAATAACAAAATACAGAAACTCAGCCATACAAAAGAGTATCATCTCCTGTAGCAACCTTGGCCTCCCGGTCAACCCAATAAAACCCACGCCAAAGTCAAATCCGCCATGGAATCTAAGTCCTGAATCAATAGACATAGCCTTAAGCAAATACAGAAAAGACCAAACAAATTTGTCAGTATTCATAAAAGAATTTTCAGACATAAAATCAAAAATGAACAACTTCACATTTATTTATACTGACGGATCCCTTTACAACCATATACCGGCATACGCCATAACCACCGAAACCACTGTCCTTAAAATGGCCATACTTCCGACCTACTCCTCAGTCTTTACTGCAGAAATAATCGCTATATTAGAAGCCATCGAGATAAGCCGCACAATAAAAGGAAAAATCTGCATCTGCTCCGACTCACTGTCTGCCTTAAATTCAATAAAAAACATTGACAACAACTCACATTACCCCACATTAATTAGAGAATCAATTACAAAGCTCTATCCAAAAATAAAAATCTTGTGGATTCCAAGCCACGTGGGAATCATAGGAAATGAATTTGCTGATAACGCCGCTAAATACGCAACTACAGCACCTTTGGTCACGACAAAAAATCTCAACCAGACCGATATAAACAAATACATAAAATCGAAGCTATCTAACAATTCACTAAACCTATTACAAAACACATCAAGCTGGTACCAAACTATTAACATAAATTATACTAACATCAATGATTACTCCAAAAACAAGGAAATCACCAGTCTACCAAGACGAGATCAAACTAAATTCATTAGATTACGTCTAGGGCATACAAGACTCACCCATCAGTATAGAATGCTGCAATCGACATCTAACACCTGCCAGTTTTGCAACCAAGTTGCAATGACTTTGAACCACATACTTAATGAATGCGTAGCATTTAATCCTGCCCGAAACCCCTTCCCAAATGGTAACCTCCATTCTGCCATTGCAAATCCTACAACCAGCAACATCCTGAGAATCCTAAATTTTCTTAAAAAAACAAAGACAATCAATCTTATCTAATAATTAAGCGTCCAACAACACAATAGAAATAAGAAAACTAATTTTCGAATTATATAGAATTGTGCAAAAACTTGAATTCCACATAGACTAATACAGACATTAGGATTAAGTAAATAACAAAAAATGTAACTACGAAAAACAAAAAATAAAATAAATGAGCCAGCCGAAAGCCTTAGTAGCTATGGCTGCAACGCCCCCCCCCTGTAGCTTTAGTTTTAACTTTAAGCTAACAGAATGTAAATAAATAAATAAATAAAGACAGGGGAGCCTCGAGCAGGAGAGCTGTACCGACAATTTAAACGGGAATTTGAATTCCTTAATAAGTTTATTTACAATCAGTATATATCCGATCCGAGCCTTCAATCCAATCCTAAAGCTTTCTGGCCGTTGTTAACCTTCATCCATATGTTATGGTAATTTCCCAGCCGACTCGGATCAGGGCGTTTCCAAACTTTTTGCACAATACTTACTCTAACCTCTAACTTGGAGCCGAAGGTTCCTTGGAGTGATAATGAAACTCTTCTTAGCATTGAGCTTTTTCTCAATGTGAGTAGCATAGACGTTTTGGACTGCGACCTAGTTGAAGCCACAGGACATTTTACCGTGTGAGCGACACGTGGATGGTATCTCCCCATTATTTCTTAAGAAGAGTCCCTTTTTATTAATGACATCTCTTCATGCTTTCGTCATTCCTACTTCTTAATGTATGCGGATGACCTTAAAATCTATAAAGCCATTAGTTGCATTAGTGACAGTTACTTGTTACGGGAGGATATATCCAGAATTTACTCATGGTGTTCCCGTAATCTTCTTCCGTTAAGGGGACCCCCCCCATTCTCGGTTTCAAAAATTTTTATTTTATTCGAACTATTAACTATATAAAAATGTTCCCTGAAAGTGAAAATTTCAAGTGAAAATCTAAAAAACTCTTAAAGATATAGCCGATTTATGGTGGTAGCCTCAGGCGACGGCGAGAGACGTCTCAAAATTTTAAACGCGTTTTTATCGAAACAGTGTTTTTACGACTGGCGCATGAGGTTACTCAAAAACTAATCCAATCGGTTCCAAATTTGAACACGTTATTTTATACATATTTAGCTCTGGTATGAACTAGGATAAATCAAATCGGTGAAGATCTTCTTTACTTTTCAGCTTGATTTGTGGCTAAAAAAAACTCAATTTTTAAAAAATAATTTTCAAAGGTGCGCAATTTTGTTAATTTTTGAGCAAAGTTAATAATCCTAGTTCATACGAGAGCCAAACATGTACTCTTTCTAATCCCGTTGGAATTTTTGGTTTCAGATGTTCCAGTGAGCGGAAATCACATGCGCCGCCAAAAAGAAGGGCTTTTCTTTGATTGCAAAAAACAACAAAATATAAAGAAAAAAAAAATTTTTTAAATGGTTTTCTTCCTTTTTATGTGTTAATATATGTATGTACAGTTACAAACCTAAAAAATAATTTATGTTCATTTGCCAGCCCATTGAAAATCGTCAAAATTTAAAATCGAGAATGGGGGGGGGGGTCCCCTTAAACCAGAGGTCGGCACGGCCCTATCTCGGGGGCATAGGAAATTTCTCTGCCCGAGCTCTGCCACACACACACAGTATACATGTGTGAAACGTCAAGCTCACAGCCTACTTTCTGCTATTCGTTACTAACACTAATGCGGTAAAATCATATCAATGTATTGGGGTGCCGACCACTGCCTTAAACTTATCAAAGTGTCTGTTTACCCGTTACATTAAGCGGTCTCTGAACGGGTTATTCCATCAATAATTCTAGTTTGGCAGCTAAAGAGGAGTTGTTAGATCTTTAGGTTAGGTTTAGGTCTTATTGATGTTAGGTCTTATTCGACACCAAATTTAAATTTTCTGGTCACTTAGACTATATTTTGCCTAAAGCGTATGCTATGCTGGGCTTTGTGAAGAGGCAATTTAAAAGTCCACACTCAAGGCTGAGCGTCTACGATCCTCTACCTTCAAACCGGAGCCGCTGCCTTCTTCTCAATGTTTGCACATTGGAGAATCGGCGAACACTGGCAGCTTTAACTTTTTGTTAACAATATAGTAAATGATAACATTGATGCCCTTTTTTTACTGCGACTCATTAATTTTAATGTTTCTCAAAGGGATCTTCGTCCCTTTCGGATCAAGTGTCACAGGGCCAATTACCTTTTATATGAGCCGATTGAGCGGGCTCTTTCTTATATTAATTCTTTGCCGCCCAGCCTCCGAATTAAGTGGGGCTTGTGCTTAAACGCATGTTAATCAGGAACTTATTAAGTTTTTATTAGTACAGTAGCATTATTTATTAGTTTGTGAGTTGTTATTTTGTAGCCATGTAAGGATTTATCCGTTGGCGAAATAAATAAATAAACTTTAAATAGACTCTTTTTCCCGATAACAAGCTCACGTGGTCACGACACTTCGAACAGCTGTTTTTAGCAGCCGATAACTTAACAGAGCGTGCCTCTGTTAAAATTTCTGTTACGTAATATTGATGTCTGATGGTATACTAACTTAATGACGTCATATCTTAATTTTAAGAACTTTTGAAAAATGGATTTATGGCCAGAAAAAGAAGTCATCCGACCTATAGTGCACTGTCCGGGTGCCGGCCGCGCTGTAGCAGAATTTCTGAACCTATGCAAGCGTGCTTTGTTAAATGAAAGTTTGCCCACCACTATCCTGAACAAACATAAAATGTATGCTGAATTATAAAAAATACAATAATATAACATATAATAAAATTTTTTTATCAAATAACCCAATAATGAATACTTAGGGTAGCAAGCCTGAAAAGTTAGAAAAATAAACAAATTTAGCTGACTTTCAAAATCGAACGCACACACTTGGACCCGTGTTACGCCGCCCATCTACAGGCGAGCATGTTGGCGAACATGTTGATCTCGCCGAAATTTTTCCCGTGGATGGCAGTGTTTGTCGTCAAATTGTTATTCGCCAAAATTCTCGCATGAAATTGAATCATTCTATTTTGTCGTTGTTTGATGACAACGTTGGCACGAACATAATATGGGAAAACATTTAGTAGCGGGAACAAATGTTTGCGCAGCGCAAAATAAGTATATAATTTATTCATAAAAAATGAGTGTAATTTATATAAATTATTCAATTAATGTAAATTATATTTTTTTCTTTTTTTCTAAGCAAATATTTATTGCCATCAGTGCAAATACAGAGCCGCTGTCGTTGTCCGTTGACATGTTGGTTGCTTGAAAGTTTATCGAAAAATTATATTTGCGCGCATGTTGGCTGTAGTTGGTGGGCAAATGAAATTCAAGTTGGCGAGCATTTTCGCCAACATGCTCGCCTTTGGATGGGCGCCCTTAAGTGAATATGTTAACACAGATACATATAAAGTTCAATTTAACCGCGGAACAACCTTCTTGATAAAGAGCTGTCACTAAGCGTAAGCGTAAAGAGAGTTAGATTCTCTCTGAGACCTGTCGCAATAAATTTTTGCATCCATTTTCATTTTATGAAATGAGTAATCTATATGTATATACAAGTTCTGCAATGCACTAAATTTTTTTCAAACTAAATACCTTTTGACAAATTTTTATATAAAAAGTATCGATATCTTTCGGTAGGTGTAACATTTATTCAAATGAAAGGCAAATTGACCATTTTAATTTGTTATTTTCGTCTATGGGTACAGTAATAAACAACGGATTATCAATTCTTTTAATGGTTTAAAAAAAAAGTATATTTAAGCTTAAAAAAAATAAAATTTTTTTATTAGAGGGAATAATGTTACTTTTTTTTGTTTCGCTTCTTTTTTTTATCCGAAAATTGATTTTTTTGTTTGGTAATGCAAATACGACAATACCAATCGTCATTGTCCTTTGGTGCAATTGTTATGCCAACACATGTCCTAAAAAGAAATGCACAAGATTTTCGTAAAGTTAACTTTTTAATTTATGAAAAAATTATTTTACCAGTGATACCAAGCATCGCAGCCATCACACCCAATCATTGCTGAACCATCATCAACCTTCCCGCAAGCCGGACAAATCCAAATACGATTTCCTTCAGCATCCACATAAGATGAAGGCCGGTTAATTTGTGCATTTGGCGCACCATTTTCTTGAATTTGCAGAGGAGCATTTAAAGTTAGTTCCCTATCCGTCATGCATGAATTAATGGGAAGACTTGACGAATAATTATTCATGACCGTATTAGGTGTCAACATTAGTTGTTGTGGTAACAAAACTGAACTGGCTGAAATAGTGGACGAAGCAACTAAATTGTTATTTGAATTTGACGCCCATCCAACGGAATTAAGTTGATTGATCGGAATCTGTGACGATTTTGTAATTAAAGGTGAAGGGGACGAAGAAATAGTGTTAAATGGAGAGTTTCCTATAGATGTTCCAAGATTACTTGTACCTAACATAGTAAAATCAGCTAAATTAAAAATTATATGTAGTCTAATAATTTAATATTTGTAAAACTTACTTTGTTTGGATTTAGGAGGACCAGTCACTAATGGTGAAAACCGGGCTAGTTCGGGAGAATGATCTCTACTGCATTCTCTGTTTGTTTGGATTAATGAATTGGAATTTTTCACAAATCCAATGTCTTGTGAATCTCCTTCGTTATATAAAATTGGCAAAGGTGTAGATTGTCCATTCAATTTTAATGTTAATTTTGGTATTTGATTTGTAGGAGGCTCGGTATTTTGCGATATTGTACAACAGGTTGATAGCGATGGCTGTAAGGCTGTTATTAAATTGGGATCTTTTTGAATAGCCCCAAACAATTTTTTACTAGTAGATCCATTATCATTGATGGAAGTTCCGCTTTCGAAGTTTTTCTCTTCTTCCAGAATAGGTATAACAATCTGTAATAAAAAAGTTAGGTGATTTAAACAAAAAAGTTAGTGCTATGAAGTTGTATTCATACAGACTTGGAAAGAAGACGACCTATCGAGAGGAACAGACGTGCTTTTCTCAACCTCCGGAAAACGTAAAGAAAGTGTAAAAAAATTGCTGTAACCAAACCAAAAATCTGGGGCAACCCAATATAAGCGAAAAGACGCTGACCCACAAAGTAATAAAAGCAATAGACAAGCTTAATATAACAGTAGTGATGTGTTAAAACAAAAACTACTGGATAATTTTTTTTAAATAAATAAGTGCCACGCAAATTAGCTCAATGAACAATGATCAAAAGATCGGAGATTTTAGAGTTAGAAAGTTCAAATTTTACATGGGAGCTATTTTTGGCAAAATAATACGACATGCTAAATTTCGTAAGTCCGTCTGTCTGTTTCTACGCAAACTAGTCTCTCAGTTTTAAAGCTATCGACTTGAAACTTTGCACACACCCTTCTTTCCCTATAGTTTTAATGCTATAAAGTCGGAACGACCGGGATCGGCCGACTATATCCTATAGCTGCCATATAACTGATTGATCGGAAATGGTATAACTTTGGTGTTTTTAGAGTTAAAGAGTCAGAGTGAGGTTAAAGTGTCAAATTTGACATGAGTGCTATTTTTGGCAAAACATTACGACATGCCAAATTTCATAAGGATCGGCCGACTATATCCTATAGCTGCCATATAACTGAACGATCGGAAATGACCCAACTTTCGTGTTTTTGAAGATAGAAAGCTGGAACTTGGTACAGATTATATTTTTGGTCAGTTAATCCGACCTACAAAATTTCATTAGGATCGGCCGACTATATCCTATAGCTGCCATGTAACTGAACGATCGGAAATGGTATTTGGTAGAAATATCAACTTTCGTATTTTTGAAGATAGAAGCTTGGGACTTTTTTTTTAGATTTTTTATTGTAATTATTTGGTTTTATTATGATGTAATCATAAGGATCGGCCAACTATATCCGATGTTTGCGATATATATCCGGTTTTAGGTGCAAGGGTATATCAACTTCGGCTCCGCCCGAAGTTAGCTTTGCTTTCTTGTTGTTCGTTAACTTTGATTCGCCAGTCGGATAGCCATTTCTCCACTGCCACCAGGTGTATAGACAGTTGTGCCGTTGCTTGCTTGGGGCATCTCGCGCGGCTTAGGATCGCTGTGTCATCTGCAAAAGTGGATGTGGTTAGATTCCTGGTCGTTGGGATGTCCGCAGTGTAGTTGAGGTAGAGTGTTGGTCCAAGCACGCTGCCTTGAGGAACTCCGGCTCTAATGATGTAGTCATCGGACATGGCTGAATTACATCTTACTGAGAATTTCCTGTTGTATAGGTATGACTTCAGAAGTTTGTGAGTGTTGGTTGGGAGCATTTCTATAATTTTGTGCATTAGACCTTCTAACCATACTCTGTCGAAAGCTTGTGATACGTCCAGAAATATCGCAGTGCAGTACTTCCTTTGTTCGAATGTATTTCAGATTTCTGAGGTTATGCGGTTGACTTGCTCAATGGTTCCGTGCTTTTCTCGAAACCCGAATTGATGAATCGGGATTTTGTTGTGTGTTCTGAGATATGGGGTAATGTGTGCCAAGAAGCATTTTTCAAAGAGTTTTGATAGACACGTTAGTAAACTAATTGGTCTATATGATGAAGCGATGTGCGGTCTTTTCCAGATTTTGGTATCATTATAATGATCGACTCTCTCTGGAAAGTGTCCGTGTCTCGTTATTGCATTGAAGAGCTGGCAAATAGCTCGAACAGCACAGAAAGGAAATTCAATAATCATTTTTGGTATTTTTGATATTAGGTCGCATCCTGGAGATTTTTTTGGGTTGAGTTCGTTTATGTTTTTTAGTAACTCATGTGGCCTAAATACAATAGGTTCATACGTTGATGTGTCGATATCTGATGTTGCTTGCAGTGAGATCCCGTTTGATGATGTGTTGGGCTGAAATACATTTTGAAGATGCTCTGCAAATCTGACGGCTCCTTCTTCGTCGCTTCGAGCCCAGTTGCCTGTGGATGTCCTTATTGGCATTGCAGATTCGATTGGTGCGCAGAGAGATGAGTGTGCTCTCCAAAGTGGGAACTTGGAGCTCATTTGGGATACTGTTCTATGTAATGTTTTTGGGACCTTTCTTCTTCATGACGAAGTGCAGCTGAGAGCCTCTCTGTAGCGTCTTCTAACCTTTGTTTTGCGGATGGTGATCTGTTGGATTGCCATTTTCGCCGTGAGCGTCGCTTTGCTAGAACGAGCTGCTCTATTTCAACGTTCGTATATCTATTATTTTACGATGTTTTTTGCGTTTGTGGAGTTGATACGCGAGCTGCTGCGACCAAGACGAATTCAAGAGTGTTTGTGGATAAGTTGATATCAGCTTCGTCATTCAAACGTGGATTAAACTCAATGTGCAAACTTATATATTTTTTGTACTTAAGCCAATTGGTTTTATTCGTTGTTAGTCTGAATGGTTTATCTACCGCAACTGGATGTAGATTTAGATGAAGAAGTACAGGCGAGTGATCAGACGATAGATCTGGTAAGGAGTTGGCATTTATCAGGTTGCGAGGAATGTTTTTTGTGACTGCAAAATCTATCAAGTCTGGCAGTTTTCTAGGATCTGTTGGCCAATATGTAGGTGTCCCAGGTGACACACAGTCTAGCTTGTTGCTTGCTTTTATTATTGCATTGTACAACTGCCTTCCCTTAGGAGTCACAAGTCGAGATCCCCAGTGCGTGTGCTTGGCATTGAAGTCTCCTGCTGCTATAAATTGTTCGCTCAGAGTTGAAATATTCCATGAATTGGGATTCTGATATTGTAAACCGAGGAGGACAGTATACGGCGGCAAGCTTTAAAGATCGGGAATCCATTTGCACATCTATTTATGTAGCTTGCATGAAGTTAGTGGCGAAGCTATTGTGGAAGCAGTGCTTGATGCGATTTCTAATCAGAATCCCAGTGCCTCCATGAGCTTTCCCGTCTGGGTGATTCGTGTTGTAGAATAGATAGCCTCGAATTTGAAAATTATATTTATTTGTGAGAAGAGTTTCTGCGAGTAGCATTACATCGATATGGTAATTAATAAGGAACTGAGTTTACTCGAGTTTGCGCTGTGAGACGCCGTTGGCGTTCCACAGTGCTATACGGAGTGGAGCCATTGATTATTTAGTCTGTTTTTGAGCAACAAGCAGCTCAATCAAAACGTTCTGGTTTCGCATAAGATCTTGCATAGTTGTCTGCATGAATGACATGAACTCCATCATACTTTGTTGAAGATTACATATCATTGTTTCAAGTTTGTTCGTAGACGGTTCTTCTGGTTGATGAGGGGAAACTGATGATCTTGGATTGGTGGGAGTGGTACTTTTAAGACCCAATTTTAGAGCAGTTGCATAGCTTGCGGATTTGTCGGTGACCTCATCATTGGCTAAAGATTTAACAGCTGAATGGGGGAAGACATTACGTGTAGATTTCATAGGTGGTGTATGTGAGTGAGCAGTGGTCACTCTTTGGTGTGTACGACTCTTCAGTTCCTTGTAGACTGGACAGCGACTGTAGTTAGCCGTATGGTTGCCTCCACAGTTTCCGCACTTTTTTCTGCTGGGATCCTCTTTATTTTTTGGGCATTTGTGAGATTCATGAAGGCAATAAGACCTTGTGTGTCTTTATTCATGACAATTATTACACAGCACCGGTCCATTTCTTTTATGCGGCTCCTCTACCGTAATTCTGCGGTGTAGTAGGAACTGGAGAGTAAAGATTGGATGCACTTCATTTTTTTTCAGAGGCTTGGATTTGGTTTCGGGTTCAAGTTCTACCTTGAAAAGAGGCTTTCTTTCTCTATAAATCGGATTTATCTGCCAAAATAGCAAATCTGTTTGCTTCAATGGGCTTCTCTATTGTAGATTGTTTTGAGGTGCCTCGAGTTATTTTAGCAGAGTTACCAAGTCTAGAGTTCTGCGGGCTAAGCTTTCGTTTTATTTGTATATGTATCGATACATAACAGTCTGTACGGCCGAACGTTGTTTTATAGGGGACACGCTGGTGTAAGGTGCTGCATTATTTGCTTGCACAGCAGTTTCCGATATTAAGGTAGATGGTATTGCGCGAGCAGTCGACACCATTGTAGTTGTTGTAATAGTTGCCGTTGCAGTTGCTAATGACGTCACTGTACTGGTGACCGTGGCTATGCAGGCAGGCATGAGGGAAGGGTATGGGGTTTTATCCAACGAGAGCGCAGGAGAGCAAGAACGCGCCCTGCCTTGCGATGTTGGATAGAGTTCATTACTCGGGGTTGGGGTTATTGATCGCGGTAGGTTATTTTTTGTTGGGTTTGCGGTCGCGTTGTCTTGCGTTGACACAAATGAGTGGTATGCGTTGTTACGTAGCAAAGAGAGTCGACGTTCGTCTTGCTGACGTTGGAGCACCGAATTCACTCATAGCTTAATGTTTTTGATTTTCTTATTTTTTATTTACACAAAAAGTACGAAGTTCATCGCACTAAGCGTCTTTTCGCCCACTGCGTATTTTTGTTTAGAGCTTGCACTGCACTATGCTTAGTTTTTGTTTAATTTTCCTTGACGATAAGAAGACAAAAAGAAAGCACGTCTGCACTCGCCGACGTTCGCGAACGACGACGCATTCTTTTCTATTTAAAAAAAAGTCCCGTTAGAATTCCGGGAAAACACGGTTTTCCAATGCAAAATTTGGACATATTAGAGCTGATTTGCTTACATTTTGACTTAAGGGATTAAATACAGTTACGATAGATGATTTTTGCATATTCGATAAGTATATACTGCAGAGAATACTCTCACAAAAATTCATAACGATCGGAGCATTAGAACCGAAGCTTAGAAAATCTTATACCTTGAAAAAGTACATTTTTTGTTAAAACCGTCGCCATTTTTTTTTAATCAAAATTTTTAAAAATCCCTTGTTCACGGACTAGACAATACA